AGGCACAGCATGTTAGAAAATGGCTTATCTTCTTAAGACTTAGAGACCATGATCTATTATGTTAGTGCTGCTGGAATCATTCCATTTGTCTTTGGTCCTGATGGACAGAAGAGGTAATATCCTTCTCTGGCTTTGGTTCTCAAAGCAGGTGGCACATGACTGAGGCTGGTGGCCTGGTAGGTGGCATGGCAACGTGAGTCTTACCTGAAACTAACTGCTCTGTGACACAATGTTTGGACAGGGAGGCAGGAAGTTAGAAGGGTGTATGCCCTGGATTTAAATGCATTGTGACATAATCTGAGGGTTTATCTGCTCATGCTGGAAAGATGAACTCAGTGGTTTAGTCTGAAAGGAGGAAGAGTAGGAAGTTTTAGACCTACGGCCAGTCAGAATCTGCTTTTCCCTCTGGAGTCCGGAACATTATAAATTGTTGAGAGAAGACAATTGAATTGGACTTCACATTGAGGGAAGTGTGAAGGTAAGGATAATTTAACTAAGAAAACCCATTCAAAACAGTTGAATTTGGGGAGAGAAAGTGCTGGTACAGAATGATTTCTTGGAGAATCAAGAAATTTTAAGGCTACATATGTATGCTTGTGTAGCTTTGCTTTGAGTGTTAAGGCAAATTGTAAAGTGAAGCTCAAGAAATATTTCAAATTTGTTTAGTGTATTATAATTTACAGATGTGTCTTAAAATATGAGTCACTAATTAAGAGTTAGGAATACTTTATTTTGGTGGTGGCTCTAGATGAAATTTTAGTTTAGGTTTTTTTTTTATCATAATGGTATTCATTTTATGTTGAAGTTAGCTATTTGGTCTCGATTCCACCAAGAAAATTGTTGAATCTCTTTTTCTGGGGTACTTTGAATTCTCTCCTCTTTCGGTATGAAGACCTGGTCTATGGTTTGTGTGGCTGTAACACCTGGGAATTAATGCTGAACACCTAATTTAGAACTTGGGCTTTGCCCACCATTATCTCTAATTGTGAGAGTTTTGGTGTCATTATGAGTGGAGGGTTTCTTTGGATGGGGTTGGAGTAAGAATCTTTAGGATGAACCACATTAGGCAGCCAGTGATTAAATCTTGTAGCCCATCATGTTAGGTCTGGGCGAGCCACTTTCCCCAGGAGGTTTCAAGTGGTGCATCAGGCAGGGAGGGTGCTGAGGATGGACCTTCTTATTTCATGGCCCGATGCTTACCTGGGGTTTCTATGGGCTGCCCACAAGTATGTTCTACTTTGTGGGTGAGGAAAGCCCTGTGCTCTCCTCCAAAAGGAGAATGTGTCTGCACTTTGGGTTTAGCTCTAATCAAACTTCGTGCTACTGTCCTTGTCTTTTCCAAGCAGTAAGCTGCACCTGCAGGTGATAGTAAAGAAGGGAAATGAAGGTAGATGCATGGGTAATGGCTCTAGGAGACAAGAGTGAGTGATGTTTGAACAGCTGGGCAGTTTTTTTCTCTCATAATGAAAGTGAGGTGAAATGCCTGTTGTCTTCATTACCAGGAATAACTGGGTCTGTTTATTCCCTTAGACAGGCAAATATAGCAAGCCTGCTTTGACTTTATGTTGTTTGGATCTTTTAAACATAGAAAGATTGGAACCATCAGATTGTTTCTGATTAAAAGGTTGAAGATACAGAAGTTCTATAACTGAAGTAGGAAGAAGGACTCATTTCTTCCCCCACTCCGATCAACTCATATCCTTCTTCGACTACTCCCCATTGCCACCTTATTACATCCCAGTGCAGAGAGATACTGATCCTTTCAGCTTTTGGGGCAGCAGGAGCCTCTTAGCTGGTCATGGGGTGGGTCAGAAGGACTATTTGGCCTAGAGCTGAACATTCAGGGAGGGCCCAGATTTTAAAATTTCATGTTGTCAACAATATAGGCAATATGCTGGCATGTATATTAAAAGTATTTATTAGGTAATTCTAAACATTTAAAAGCAAACAAAATTTTTGCTTACTCTATTTTGGTATTTTCTCCTTTTCTTTTTTTAATATACCAGGATCTTCAAAAAAAAAAAAAAAAAAATGGAAATGGTCCAGGCCCCTAACCTCTGTCTGCGAGGCCCTAATTTCCTGCTACAAAGGCTCTCACAATGCAGTAATGGTCATAGAGACTAATGAGGAGGACAGACCTCAATAACTAAAAACATGAAGAATTCACTAAAGTGAGGACTTGAGTGCCTTGAGAAGGTGTGACAGAGCCCTCCCAAGCATGTGAAATTGAGGGGTTAGGGGAGATCAGCCCCTTCTCCTAGGGGAGAAGGGGGTCGGGCAGAGTTGATGTTAGGCAGCGGAGGTGATATGTCTTACCAGACAATTATTTGTTGGGGAAATAGCTGAACTCTAGGACGATTTTCATATTTTAAGGTTGTGCAAGTGGTGAATGGCAGTGTTGTCAACCAAAATAGTTAACTGGGAAATTTATTTTCTAACAGTGTGTGGGTAAGATGATTAATTTGATTTGGGGGCATGTTGAGTATGAATGGCCTTTGAGACATCAGAGTACAGATGTTTTGTAAATATATGATCTTGTATTATAAGAAGCTCTTAGTTACTCTTGTTGATTTAGAACCTCATAGTATATAAGGCACTCTCCAGGCCCAATGGGGAATAGAAAGAAGAATAGATTTTATGGCTCCTGATTTCAAGGAGTTTATTGTTTAATTGCAGTCGAGGTATTGAATAACCACAGAAGATCCCAGTAACACTTCAGCTAACAGCAAGAGAAATGTTATACGCAGTACATGAACAATTGCCAAATGAATTGTAAAGATGCCTCTTGCTTTTCTGTAGTTACTATTCAAGTACAATTGTTCATTTGGTTTTACTTCTGTTTTACTCTAGTAGTTTGAGGTGGTTTGAGGATGGAATGAGCTTATTTAATAGTACTGTGAGTTATTAAACCTGCTTTGGAGTAACAATTTTATTAATAATTTTGTTAGGGTAGGGACTGTTATTTGTCTCATCTTACAGAAGAGGAAACTGTGCACTGAGAGGTTAAATAACTTTCCTAGAGTCATATCAACAATAAATGATAAAATCATATAAACAATAAATGATAAAGACACTTCCCCTCATTTTGTTATTGTAATATTTGTCACTAAATATATCCCCTATCATTTAAGGTATTTGGAAAGCTTATTTATGGGAGTCAAATAGTTTATTTAATCATTCTCCTAACACTTATATTTCCAATTGTGTCTTCAGGATAAATCCTGCGAGTGGGCTTCCTGTACTAAGAAATAGAAAATATTTAAAACTCTTTAAATCATATAAAATTCTTTTCCATGAAAGTTAAAAAATTTTACAATTTGTATGTATTTTTCAATCCCATGTAGAAGTGTTTGGAATCCTATATGGTTGTCTAAACCAAAACAAACAGAACTCAATAACACTGGTTAAAGGTGGTGGTTAGGATAATAAATCAGAGGCTATCAGAGGAGGAAGGAACTCCAGGTACCATCTAGGCCCAACCCCTCCTTTTATTAATTAAGAATTAAGGTTACAGAGCTTAGGGGACATGTCTCAAACTACACCACTAAAGTCAGTTAGGATAAGAACCTGAGCTTAGCACTATGTAATATATTGAGTCTGAATCTCTTAGACAGTTTGGATGATTCAAGGGTGTCCTGAAATGTCCATCTGAGGTCTTGAGTGGAAATTTAAGAGACTTTTAGTGTTTAGGTCAGCTTCACAGTTTCCCCCTAAGCTTCACAGTTGTATCAGAGGGGTAGGGAAATAATCCAAAGGGGTCTGTTCTGAACTGAGAGGCCCCGTATTGACCCACAGAGATAAAGATGTCTGCTGGGACAGGGGCAATTCTGAAATCCCCTCTTTCGAGTTTTCTTAGATCTGGCCTGGTGTCAGATCCACAAGGATGATCTGGATTCTCTCTTCATTATTCTGTTGATGGTACAAAATGTTTGAAAAAAGGGCTGCTCACATCATTAAAAACCCATGTAATTCAAGACTAGTTCTTTACAGCACTGACCAAAAATGGATTGTATTTCTGTTTATTAGCCAGAGGTGACTCCACCATATGACAACAGTGTAAGCAAAATTTGCAATTTGATTTGGCTTGGTATCTGGCAAGATGGGGCTAAGCTAAGTTTTACCAATAAACCTCAAAATTTCAATGGGTTAGCACAATAAAGGGATTGTTTCTTGGAAAATGAGAAGCAAGCTGGTTCATCATCCTCTGTGTTATGGATATGCCATGCCACGGTTGCCCAGGCAGGGGGAGAGAGAGATAAAGGAGTCATGTAGCCTCTTAACTGACCCAGCCTGTGAGTGACACATGCCAATTCCACTCACAGTCCCATTAGCCAGAATTAAAAACATGGTTCCAATCCAACTGGAGGAGAGGCTGGGAAAAGAGTGGGGAGCATCTCACAGATATTGGATGAACACTAATGGGCACATCCATGCACTTGATGCTTGACACTTTGAAATTATCTACATTAAAAAATTTGTAGGCCATTTCAATCATTTCAAGTTTTAAACATAAAGGTAAAACTTTCTTATTTTTTTCCTTTTAATATTCGTGAAGGGCAGCCATATAGTGAAGTACATACTGTCATTTAAAGAAATACTTTTGATCTCTGTGTTAAAAACAACAGAACCTTTGCTTAATAATTGTGCTATCTGGGTAAGCATTTAACTTTTTTAAACCTGTATCCCTATATAAATGGCATAATAATCCATCATTCATGGGTATGTTACAAAAATTAGGTTGGAGGTTGCATGTAAAATACTTGACATAGTGACCAGTGCATGGTTAAGTGTTTATCAAATGTGAATTTTTATTTTATTTTTATTGGTATTTTTGATATTGTAGTGGGATCTACCTACAGTTTGCAGTAATATAGGATCCTCCGAATCAGTGATATATCCATAATCATTGGAAGATAGTGTAATTTGTGGGGACAAGTGATGTTTTGTCTAGGTTCCAGAAATAAAATGTTTTTATCTTCTGTATGTTCTTATTTTTCTAGATCATGGGGAGTTTCTCAGGTCATGCCCTCCCTGGAACCTTCTTTTTTGTTATGGGTCTTTGGTGGAGTATAAAGAGTATTCTGAAATATGTCTGCAAAAAGCAAAAGCAGACCTGCTATCTTGGTTCCAAAGCATTATTCCATCGAGTAGAAATTTTGGAAGGATCTGTATTAGTTGGCATGGCTTTAACCGGTGAGTGGACCATTTCTGTGTTTTGTTTTCTCCTTTTGGGTATTTTCACATATAAAGAAAAGATCCAACATAAAGTCAAGAAATTGCTAAAATGAATTTTTTCATCAAAAATATCTCAACACATTCTAATTATAATTTCTCTTGGATGCATTAATAATTTGTTAGGAAGGTGATACTCATGTTTTTACAAAGGCCTATTTATGAATTAGTCATAGTACTTAACTTACCTATGCAATTTAGGTAAATTTCCTTTATAGAGTTGGTTGGAGCTTCTGAAATCATTTTATATCTATTGTTCTGATCCCTGAAAGAACGAACCCATTCAAAATCAAAAACCATTTTGCAAACAACCACAAAACAATGAAGCGATTATGGAAAAGCTTCTATAATAAATTATTGCTGATAGGCTGTAGAAGATCTTGCCTCATGCACTCATCCTTTCTTCGTTCCTAAATTAGAGCAAGAGGTTAGGCCACATGACTTATTAAGGCCTTTCCACTGACTATGAAGATTCTATGAAAACGTGCTGTGTTTTTAAGAGTACCACTGCAGCCTCTCCTTTATAAAAGGTAAAACTTCCCATTTTCCCATTAGATTTCTTTATGCTTTATTCATGGCAATATGTCTTTGCTATGACCATCAAATTACAGAGTAGTGTTTCCAAAGAGAGAAATTTCCTTGCCAAATTCTATAGACTAACAAAGAAGGCAGGATCACTAAAAAGTTTAACTGTTTGCGTAACTGACTAGATCATATGCTTATCTGTCTGGGCTTTCTCAGTTATCCTTAACTGAGGAAAACCTGAACTCTTTAATATTTTTCTCCAGGACCAAGTGCAACCCCTTACTACATGGCAGCTACCCAAACATGCATAATAGTATCTAAGAAGGAAGTAATCAGCCTCCGTAGGACTGATCTAATCTCGCAAATCCATACCCCCAAATTATTCAGGATTTATCTTAGTCATTAGATTGGAATAGTCAGTGGAAATAAGATCATCAGCACTGAAGATCTGAAAGAGCTGTTTGACTCAATTGGTTATCTCTTTCACTAAAATTGGTTATTTGAACCAGCATCTGAACCTCTAAAACAACCCTAAGGCACCAGTGCTCAGTTGTTGGGGAACAGCCTTGATAGAGGAATTGATGTCCCAAGATGACAGTAGATTGAAATGAGGAATGAGCTCATCTTCCTGCATCTTCTTGCATTCTAGGTAAAGTTATGGAAAGCGTTGCTAAAACTGTGAAATGTTCTTCTATAGGCATGGCTGGGGAGCAGTTTATTCCTGGAGGGCCCCGCCTGACCTTATATAAGGAGGGCCAGTGGAACGAACTCATGAGCTGGCATCATTTCACCATGTATTTCTTCTTTGGGCTGTTGGGCGTGGCAGACATCTTATGTTTCACCATCCGTTCACTTCCCGCCTCATTACCCAAGTTAATGTTTTCAAATGCATTATTTGTGGAGGGTAAGTATGAGTGAGTATTTTCCTGTACCTTTCTTCATTAGTGGGCATTTGTGAGCCCTTTATAATAACATACCTTTGGTGTCTTGGTGCAGCCTTGATTGATAGGGCCATTTTTCTGGGCCATAATGGGTGTCCTAGGCAGGATGACAAAGATCTTTCCTGCTTACTGACTCATATAGTAGAATTGGGCAAGCACACTCATTCAGAGTAGTTTCTTCACACTTCACATCTGTATTACCAACCCAAGTTCTGTGGTTACTTATGTCTATGTTGCCCCAAAGATTATCATTCTTTCCACTTTCAACAAGTGAAAACTGAACTCAGTTAATGAAGCATGAATATCCTGAAATGAGGCAACCACTCACAACAGAACAGCTTCCACCGTCTACTAACTAGCCCTTTTCATATCGATATAGCGAAACCCTGCCATTATGTGATAAGTAGGGTCCAAAAAATTCAGCCACATAAAAAGATGAGGTCCTAATTTTGAGAGGTTAATTAAAAGAATACTTTTAGTTCAGTTGGTCTCCCTGTTACTGTAGGGGACATGAAAGGAAACAAATGTTTAATGATTTGTTTTCATTTATTACATGCGTAAGAAATAGATTAATCATGAAACTAACAGACCCAAATTAATCAGAAGGCAGTCACTCCCTACTCATGTTGCTTCCAGCATCTGGAAAATAAGAACTGTTGCCCATTCCTCTTTGGAACAAGGGCTAGATAAAAGATGGGTGCCAACAACTAATAGCCTGATTCTTGTTATCCCAGGGCGTTGCTGTATTTTGAATGAACATCCTTTTCTCTTTATACAAATGAAAAGGATTAAGATGAAAGTGGAATCCATCTACAGGAGGAAAAAATGTAGTTAGTTTCTACTTCCTGGGAGTTGCTCAGAGCATCTTGTCATACCTGTCAAAGTCCACCCTTATGATTTATGAGTGGACTGAATTCCTTACAGTGAGGCTTCAGGTTATCCATCTGTGTATCACCTTAATTCTTGTTCCCCTGCTTCTTTGTGCTTATTAGTCCTCGTCTTGTGCAGAAGATGCTTTGAAATATAGTTAGTTGAAAATGTCGAGATGTGTTAGAGGAGAGAATAAAGGTTGAGGAAGAGAAAAGCAGAGTTATATTTCAACGATTCCACTCCAAAGAGGCAGTGATGACTTCAAAAATGCTGCAGTGTTGCAGTTCTGTCGGAATCAGTGACACTGTGCTTTGTGCATATACAATTTTGTGGAAAGAGAGAGAGAGAGAGAGAGAAACAGTTGGTGGCCTTTGTTTCATTGAAAAAGACAAACTGTTTTTCCCTCCTCTATCAGCTTTTATCTTCTACAACCACACTCATGGCCGTGAAATGCTGGACATCTTTGTGCACCAGCTGCTGGTTTTGGTCATCTTTTTGACAGGCCTGGTCACCTTCTTGGAGTTCCTCCTACGGAACAATGTACTTCTGGAACTTCTGCGTTCAAGCCTCATCCTGCTTCAGGGGAGCTGGTTCTGGCAGGTGAGTTGGGTCCTCCAGTAAATGCACCTGGTGTCTCTGCCTGTAATTGCTCTTTATCTGATGGGGCATTTTGCTCTTCACACCAGAGACTTCCCTCCAACGTGCTGCCTGTCGTGGGAACATGGGCCTCTGAGAGGTGATGTTTCATAGAGTAGCCTGGTGGCTGTGGTGGGAGCATTGTCAGAGCAGCTGGGAAGGAAGTGGAATGTGCACATCTTCATCTCACACCTCAATAACCATTACGTGGGAACTCTGAGCTGATGCTTTTAGTTAGAAGCAGTTCCTGTTGCTAAAGCAGCTTACAGCCTAATGGGTGATAAGTTGGAGAAATACATGGAAGGCGGGAAAGAGAGGAAATTATTATTTATTGAGAAACAACTATATGTTGGCCACTGTACTGAACTTTTACATTCATATTGTTTTAGTTTGTCCTCACAACAACCTGGCGGTTAGGTATTATTATCCCTAATTTATCCATAGGAAGACTCAGAGAGACCCAGTTACTTTCCCAGGCTCACACAATAATGGAAGTAGGATCTAAGTCTTAATTTGTCCGATCACAAATCCCAGACGCTTTCCGTTTTACAGTGTCAACTCCACAACCTTGGTATGTTGTTGAAAGCATGAATTCCAATCAGTGAACGCATACTTTGTAGAGACTGATAAATCATAATCTGACATACATACATAGATGTAAAGAAAGTCTGAGATGGAAGGTGAATGTGGTTTAATCAGGGAAGACTTCTTAGAAGAGGTTTTTAGTTACCAGACAATAGGGATTGGGGATGATGAGGTTATCAGGGATTTGCATTGCGCGTGAGGACTGAGAAGGAAGCCTTGGTAAGGGAGAGAGAAACATCATAGTTAAGCAGGAGGTGGGAAAGATGTGATATTCAAGCACGTGTGGGCATAGAAAGGCCATTGGAACAGAGGCTAGTAAGGAGGGGCTGGATTCAAGGGTTATTTTAATGGAAATATTTTATAGGAAAAATATCTTAACAAAAACCCTATAGGGTTTTATCACATTATGATGTGATAAAACTGATAATTGGCGAATTTTACCCCAGTTTATACACAGAAGTTGTTTTGTTAGGTTATTTATGATCTGCCAGGAACCAAAATAGAGTAAATAAAATAGTGTATAAATCACTATTATGTGTTCTGTACCTCTTGATTGGCATGTTTTTCTATGTGCATGTATTACCTATCCAAAATTAAAAGTAAATTTTCAACATTTTTAAAAAGGTGGATTCTGATCAAGATGACACAGTTTACACCTCTTTGCTCTAAACACATAACAATAACAGATAAAATAGAAAAAAAACCCTAGAAAATAAAAATTAAATAAATGAATAAGAAAGTAAAAAATATCTGACTGCAAATGAGCAAAACAAGCAAAAACACTTGTGGGCAGGACACAGAAATGCACAGCAAGAGCAGAGCTGATGTGTAGGCTTGCTGGTTCCAGGTCCAGAGGAGACAATGATGGTTGAGTTTTTGGCTCCAGTGGAACTTATAGGAAGTAAAGACCGCCTGTCAAGGTCCGGGATGAAGCCAGGCTCTTGGAACTTCCCCCCCGCCCCCTGAGGCCTCTTTTTAGTTACAGTAATATCGAACCATCTACTTGCAAATCTTTGGGTCTCTATCAGCTGGAATTAACTAGGTACTGTGAATCTTTGGGATTATGTAGCCAGGGACGAGAAAGGAGCAAGCAAACCACTGAACAGCAGGGTATCACATTGCTCCAGCTGGAATCCAGCAGGAACATCTGAACATGCCACACCTGAACACTTAAAGGAGGAAAGAAGGAAAGCTGCTCTTCATTTGTTTTCAAAGCAAATTCATTTGAAAGATGATGAATAAATGGTCATCATTAAGTCAAATGTATTAATCAATTAGGCCTTCAGCCTAGAAAACAAAGTTTTTCTTTTTCTGATACACTACCCTGAAACAAATTTATCAATAAACCCCAAAGATTTAGTACAATATAGTACAATTTATATTTGCTTTTCTCTTTCCTTTCTTTAGACAAGCACCAAATAAAATCCAGGTGAGGGAGATGCAACACAAGTAGAAGCTGACTTAAGACCTCAGACTAACTCTCTAAAGAATCTAAAATATTATATTGGTTAATGTGAATCTATGTAGAATAAAGCATTTGAGTATTGCTTTTCACACTGATAGAAAGTCCCTGGTGGCGTTGGTGGGGGAAGATTGTTAAAAGGTATAATAATCTTTTCAGAACTCACAAGGCAGGTTACTCATTCTTTATTTAATTGTGGTCATGGAGACTATCCCAATTTCCCATAAAATACTCTCTCAATACTGCAGCAATATCATAGCATAAAGGACTCTAAGTGCCACTAGACATAAGGACCAGAGTTCTATTCATAAACCATGACGCTGGGTAATGTCTGAATGAGAACTTTTGATATGGATGGTTGGATGAAAGATATCAAAATGTCATCCGGGAACTCTTCAAGCGTGTGTATGTGTGTATGTGTTTTAAAAAATATATTCTATGTTCCTAATTGGTTTTCATCTGATTGATCTCTCACTTTCTAATAGAAGTCTTTTAAAGTTTTATATTATAGTTATGAATTTGTCAATTTCTCCTTATTTTCAGTTTTTGCTTCATTATAAGCAAATTATAATTTGCCTCTCTTTTTCTAGTTTTTTGAGTTGGATGTTGATCTCGTTTATTTTCAATCTTTCTTGTTTTAAAATAAGTATATTTAAATAAATACATATCTCTACACACTACTATAGCTGCCTCCCATAAGATTTGATTTATAGTAATTTTCACTGTTGAGCAGTTTTGAATGTTGCCATTTCCCTGAGCTTTTCTCTTTAATTTATGAGTTATTTAGGAATACACTTTTAAGTTTCCAAAAATATTCTTTTTCTTATTATTTATAACTAATTTAATTGCTTTATGGTCAGAGAATGTTTTCTCTTTAAAATGTATTGGAACATAGCCCAATGTCAGTGGTTGTAAACGTTTCATGCGTTTGGAAAGAAAGTATATCCTTTCTTTGTTAGGTTCAGGATTTTACATATATTTACTAAATCAAGTTTGTTAAAGAGCTAAATATTCAGATAAAGAAAGTTGGACAGTAAGAACAAGAGGGGAAACCCAATGAGAGTTGAGGAAAGGAATTATAAAGATAAGAGCAGAATTAATGAAAGTTATTAGTATTCAGTCAATAATTAATAATTAGTTAACATCTAGGATTAGAAGGAGGAAGCTGTGGGCTATATCTAACTGGGAATAGATTGTCTTAATGTTGCCCTTTTTGAAATAATGTTTTCATATTTCCCCAAATGTTTTTCTAAGGAAGAGGTTAAAATCTTTGGACAAAAATCTGTGATGATTTAGAAATTTTTTCATCTACCAGTATGTCTAGGCTAGTTTCCTTTTTTACCTGGTGGCCAGTCTAAATAATGTCTGCAGCCTTAAATTAAAATGAACATCTCATACCAATGCGAACATACACACTGGCAGGAAATGAAGGGTTAGCCATAGTAACTCTCCCACTCTTGCATTCCTCTGAAACGAAACTGTCTAGAAACTTAGGTGAATTTATTATGCTTCCATGTTTTGTGTGTGGTATATGAACGCTTAAGCTTACTGTCTTAGGCTAACAAAATTACATCATGATTTGTTTTTCACCATATTTTTTCTCTTACTACTTCTCCATATATGGTTAATACTAGTACAAAAACTATGTATAGACAAATGCAGAAAGCAACCACCTAGACTTTTGGAACCATATGTATGGAGATGTGAACTGAATGAAGCAAATGCTGAGATTAGCCACTTTTTAATAAGGGTCATATAAATGATTGGTTAATATGCAAACGGAGGGGGAATTTCCCTCACAACCTATTAAAAAATGGTTTCAATTGCAAAGATGTGGAAACAACCCAAGTGCCCATCCATACATGAGTGGATTAATAAAATATGGTATATGTATTCCATGGAGTTCTTTTCAGCCACAAAAAACAATGGTGATCTTGCACCTCTTGTATTATCCTGGACAGAGCTGGAGCCCATTCTATTAAGTGAAGTATCCCAAGAATGGAAAAGCAAGCACCATGTGTACTCACCGTCAAATTGCTACTAACTGATCAACACTTTTATGTGCACATATGGAAGTAACATTCATCAGGTGTCGGGCAGGTGGGAGGGGGCAGGAGGCGATGGGTATATTCACACCTAATGAGTGCGGTGTGCACTGTCTAGGGGATGGGTACACTTGTATCAATAGCTCTGACTCAGGTGGTACAAAGGCAATATATGTAACCTAAACGTTTGTACCCCCGTAGTATTCTGAAATTAAAAAAAACAATAGTTTCTTTCCTGAGCCACGTTACAGTCAAAAATGTTTTCTCAATAACCTAGCTACATTGTGCAATTTAAAAAAGAAGCAAACATCCTTCATGTCCCTTTATTCCATGAATCATGTTTTCCTTGTGACTGTGTAGGAAACTATTGCAAAAGCTCTCTTTGTCCTCTGTCACTGCTAAGCTCCCTCCCATTATTCTTAGAGCCCAGGCACAGGGACAGTCCCAGGATGAGGAAGGTGCTCCTGATGTCTTGCTTCTTGTTACTTAGCACAGTTGCTTCCACGGCATCTCCCAGCTCCATGCATCCTCCCAGGCACTCCTCCCAGGACTGGCAGATTCTGAGCCCACGCTAAAACCCAGCCTTGTCTTGCCTTTAAGAAGGACAAAAGTTCATCCTAAAATGGCAAAAAGTCCCTACTAGGCAGTAGTGGTCTGAGATCTGAAATGATAGATCAAGCACTTGCTTAGGCTTATATTGCTGAAATAAATGATTGGATGACCCAGATATAAAACAACAGGAAATTCAGATTCTAAATTATAGGAAATGGATGCTGGGCTTGTTGTCTATTAGAGAAGATGATTATTTACGTTTGAAATGTGATGCTAATGAAGCTGAAACTAGTCCAAAGCAGATGTTTGGGAGTGGCATA